CGGAAAAGACTCACTCACCACGTTCCTACATCATGCTCCTTCTCTGTCCACCCACAGGTCCAAAGGACGTCATGATGGCTTCATTAGCCAAGTATGTTCCAGAAACATTCACCCCTGTGCTCCTGCATCTCAAACATGAGCCAGGTCAGATGACTCCACGTCATTCCCATCTGATAAAATGTTTGCTGGCCTGGAAGGCAGAAACCCAAAACCCTGGCAGGGCCCTGACAGGCCTTCCCTTCTAGTTCCTTACACCTTGCTACAGTGGGTAGAGATGAGTACTGGGCTCATGACCCAGTACAGGAACTAAAGGCCTTTTGTAGTGATGTGTTCTCCAAGTATTCCCAGCACCAACAGAGGGAGGAAGGAATGAGTGGACAGAGAAGATGTGCTGAAGACGTCAGACCCTGTGAGGGTCCTTTCATGTTGCCACAGGCTTAGCTCTGGGGATGGTTCTGTTCGTTTTTCTTTGGAGCTTTCTCTGGGTCTTCTTCCCTCCTCCATGAAATGGCTTGGGCAAGATCAAATGACCTGTATGGTTTACCCCAGTTCCCTATTTCCAATATCATGGTGGTACCTTTATTAATAAGTGTTAATATTAATATATATATAATTTATTTATTTACTTTTACTTATATGTGTATCTTTATGTGTGAACATACATGTGTGCTCATGTATGCAGTAGTGCACACATTTGGAAGACAGAGGGCAACTCACAGGAGTCGGTTCCCTCCTTCCACTTAGTGGGAGGATTGGACTCAGACCATCAGGCTTGGTAACAAGAACCTTTCACCTTCTGCACCATCTCATGGCCAATGGAGACCATAGGAAAGAACTGGAGGAGTCCCTGCAAAGCCATTTCATCTGTGTATCAGTAAGTGGGTTGTTTCCCATCACTGGCTGTTGGGCTGTCTTGGTGGAAACCCTCGATGAGGTATGGTGGCTAGAAATAATGACCTGTGAATGAATATTTACTAAGTGTCACACTGGGCTGGGTCTCAGGAGGAAGGGCAGCAGGGAGACATGGCCTGCATTTGAATGGTAGGAGACAGGCAATTAATTCCGAAGCCACGATGGGGCAGATGCTGATTGAAGAGCAGTGGGCATCATGTGAAGATTAGAAGAGGAAGCACAAAAATGCACACAGGCCTGGTGTATTTCAATAGCCAGAAAAAAATCCAGGGCGGGACCACCCACACTCTGGAGGCCATGCCTACAAAGTCACTTCAATTTGTACGGTTATATGGCCAGACCTCAGTGATGTGAACTGAGCCATTGAGCCCAGACAAGTCCATAGTATAGACAATGTTTATCACCATACGCCACAGTGTATTCATGGAGACAGTGTGCAGGGCAGTTTCCTCAACAACAGCTTCTTCATTCCCTCCTGGTTAGACTGACAGTCTGCTAGGAAGGGTTCAGATCTAAGCAGATGCCCTAGTGCCAGACAGGGAGACTGGTGCACTGGAGCAGAGGATGCACTTTGCCCAACATGTGTGTGGGAGGACTGTGCTGAAGGCACAGAGGAGGCAGCAGGTGGATTTAGCTGGGAGCACCTTGGAGGCGTGGTAAAGACCCCGGTTTAGACAAAGGGACAAAAGTTAGCCACTGAGAAACCCAGAACGTGAGAACTAAGAGAAACCTGGTCGCTCCACTTCCAGCCATCTTTTCACTCACATACATGACCTCAAACATGGGAGACTGGTGTGAAATTAGGTAAGAGGCAAATTCCCCCAATGGACCCAAGTAACTTGTTCCTTATCAATATAATAGTTGCTGGTTTGTCTGACTTCCTACCTGTCCTAATTGGTATCAGTAAATGAGGTTACTTTTTGGTTGAATATGAAAAAAGAAGTAATGAAATCTTATTCCTGAAAGTTCAAAATTACTCTCAATATTTTAATATATTTATGTATCTATACATTAATTTACTTTTCTATTCATCATTGGTACCATTTTGCATATGCAATTTTATGCCCAGATTTATTACCACTATGGGTGTTTTTTTCTATATTTTAAATGTTCTTGAAGCTCATAAATGATAATTAACTGGTAATAATAGTATTAATGGTAATTAATGACTGGTAATATTCCTACATAAGGACATAACAGAATTCTCTTTATTATTTCACTTCTTAAAAATTAGTGTGAATGAGCTAGTTTTTTGTTAATATAATGAAATACTGGAGGCTGGGATATTTATCAAGAAAAGAGGTTTTCTTATAGATTCCAAGGTATCAGCTTGAGTCTTCTGAAGATCTCCTGGCAGATAGTGTCACAATGACAGAAGGACATGTGGGAGAACGTGTAGTGGGTAGCTGTTCCAGCTTTGACCTGGAAGTACTACCCCCACTGAGGCTTCGATAACTGTCACACCAAGAAGGCAGGGCCAAGACAGGAGCCCTTAAGACCCAAGATCTGGATGTGCCAGTTCTCTTGGTTCCTGGATCCTGGACGCTGGAGGTAGACTGAGCAGAGTTCTCCAGAGAACACCGCTGGACTGAGCTACACCTTTCCCAGACCCTGTAAGCTATCCCTTCACTTGTAAGTTACCCACAAAATAAACCTCCCTTTTAACTATGTGGAGTTGCCTTAATACTACAAGCAATAAGATAGTCATCAGATAGGAAGTCAGGAACTCAGAGAGTTCTCTAGAACTCTATTCCACACTACCATTATAGTCTAGAATCAGGAAAAATAAGGCATGTTGAGTCCCATGGTCATAGTTCTCTTTCCTTCCTTCCACAAAAGTAGTGTCTTCAATTTTCTTTTCTTGCCACCATCACTCCCTTCCTTGCTAGAATGTGAGGTAAACTCCTTCCTTCTCCCCAGCAGAGTAATGTTTATCTCACAGGCCTTCTGCCTGCTTCTCTCCTTCGGGAACCTTCTCCAACTAATGACTTCCATTTATAAGAAGAAGAAGAATGGTAGAACTGTAATTTCTCCAACTCATTACACATGGGCATACCAATCCAAACTCAAGATGACTCTCCCCAGGCCCTGACTCTTTTATTTCCGTCTCATTTTTTGTGCATCCGGCTACTTGTTTAGTCCCTTTGCTCTCTATATTGTGGTGTGGGATTTCAGGAAAGATGCCAACTTTATTTCAAATAGTCAACCACTTATCCTAAAAATAGACTCCAGGATATGTAGGATAGCCAGTTTGTGATTAACTTTGGCACTTGAAATCAGAGGAGAACGAATAATGAGGTAACAGTGGGCATCTGCACTGGATGTTTCTCTGCCTATCAGGTCTTCCCCCATCCTCATGCTGTTTTGATTAACTGCTATCATCACCATCTTCTAAAATGTTCCCTGGCTACTTTGTGTCCTCTCTTTTTCCTAGTAAGGTTTGGGTTCACTTCTTAAGTGGCCCCTTTAGCTTATAGTACTAGGATTTTACTGAAATCATTCAAATCAAACTAGAATACAGACAGGACAAGAATCTTCTTTCTAACCGATTTTCACACGAGAATATATGGGTGAGTCTAGTCTCATGTTTATTGCTTTTTTTTTTCTTTGCAGGGGAGAGGGAACTATTAGTGGGTACCATGATAGTTTTCAAATCTAGGTTTTCTGTCTGAATTGGGAATTTCAAAACGTGTCAGCAACTGATGCCACAAGGACAGATTTTTGCCATGGTTTTCTTTTTAAGGAGTATTTTTATTAATTCTTTGAGAATTCCATACAACATATCTTGATCATATCCCAACTCCTCCCATACCCACCCTTCTCTACCCTCCCCTCCTCACCCACCCAACTTTCAGTCTTCTTTTCTTCTTCCCTATGGAGACGAGTTTGGGTTGCGCAACTGCTCTCGGGTGTGGAGCCTGCTCTGGCCTGTGGTCAGCCTACCAGCAGTCACATCATTAAAGAAAACTGACTCCTGCTCCCAGCAACTAGCAAAGGCCACAAGCTCCTCAGCTAGGGTGGGTGTGTGGCTGGAGCTTGTGCCTGCTGTCACAGCTCCTGTGTGTTCGCATGTGCAATTGCTGTGATTTTCATGTGCGGTTGTATGTCAGCATTCTTAAAAAGGATTTCTTTTCTCACATTAAGAATGTCGGCATTTCTCTTATGTCTTTATTCTCTCTCCTCTCTAACAGGCATTTTTTCTTCTGCATCTCTCTTCATCCTCTTTGTATTCTGAGAGTGTCTTTTGATTGCTCTGTGCCACTGATACCATACACCCGCATCGTGTGTGTGTGTGTGTGTGTGTGTGTGTGTGTGTATGTGTGTGTGTGTGTGTGTGTGCAATTGTTTGTATGTGTGAAGGGGCATGCATGTGTATGGCTATGGGCGTTTTTATGAGTGTGGCCTGTGCACATTCCACTGGACAACCTTGGGTGTCGTTTACCAGGCACCGCCAACCATTTTATTTTCCTTTCAGATAGTCTCTCACTGACCTGGCACTCTCCAAGTAGGCCAGGCTGGCTGGCCAACAAGCCCCAAAGATCCACCTATCCCGGCTTCTCCATTTCTGAGGTTACAAGTGTACACTGTTGCAACTGAGATTTCCACATGCATTCTGGGAATCAAACTCAGGGCCTCGTATTTGCAAAGCATTCTGGGAATCATACTCAGGGCCTCACGTTTGCAAAGCATGACTGAGTCATCTCCCCACTCCCATCAGTTCCACTGCCTTCAGCTGCAATTCTGTTCTCTCCCTCTCCTATTGATACTCTTTCTCATAGCACATGCTGTTTCTTTGCAGGGATCTTATTTCTCTTCAGTCTCAGGACACAAGAACAACTGGTATCCTGTGAAACAGAAGAAAAGCCAAGAATAGAGAAGAGAGTCAACAAAAAGGAAGAAGGAATGAAAGGAGCTTTGTAATTTTGATTTAAATTACACTGATTCCTCAAGGAAATCATTTTCAGATATGTACTTTTGTTTTTCAGGATACAACTACAATTTCTTCATATTAGTTCTTCCATGGATGCTCTCTCTTTCTTTCTCTCTCCCTCCCACCCTCCCTCCTCCTTCCCCTTCTTCATGTTTTTAAAGGAGTTAGACCTGCAAAGCAGCATTACAAACAGCTTCTGTATTTGAGTTCTCCTTGGCTCTTCCCATTCCTCACTTACACATCTTACCTGGAGGGTAAATTGAGAGGTAAAAAGGAAATGAACAGATGAATGAGCACATTCCCTAATTCACTTGTCCAGAACTATGAGGGAGTAGCCTGCCAAGGCATTCACTGCGGTGGCTTTCAGGTCTAAATTTACTATACTCTGTCATTTGTGGATAGTGACCCTTGTTAAAAGGCTTCTCTTTGAGATATGAGAGATAAGCGCCATAAGGCTCTGCAGCAGGAATGCACAGGAAACCTGCCAGAAGTGTGGGAGGCAAAGACACTCTGCCCTATAAATCTCATTTCCAGGCGCAAAACATGCAAGCAGCAACTCGGCCCCGTGACTCAGTGATTCCCAGCTGTGTGGGTGCTGATCATATATGCATCCCAAAGGTTAAGCCTGGGCCACAGGGCATTGAGTATTGGACTAGAGTACATAGGAGTTAGGTCAAGCCCAGAAGAACCCCTGAGAAGGGTCCTAAGACTATACATTTTTGAGACTGAAGAGTAGGTATGATCGTGTTCAGATGGATAGAAGGGAGTGGAACGTGCAGCTAAACAAGGCTCTTTGAAGCTCTACCTCAGCCTCGACCATTCTTCTGAAGAGCAGTATCACAGAGGTAAGAGCCCAGTGCCTACCTCTGAGTTAGCTCCTTCTATTAGTCAGCTTCTGGGCTTCACTTCTTAATAAGGCGCAGGAAAGGGGACGAACAGCTTACCAGCTTGCTATGTGGTGAGGAGCTGAAGTGACCTAAGTCATGTCCAGAACAGAACTGCAAATGAGAGACTCTCCAGTAAGTACTCTCTTTTTCGTCCTCACAACTAGGGAATCACATCCCCTGAAGTATTTAAAAAAATAAATGCACACATAGAATCAGGGAGCTATTGGTGGGCTTCGATTTATTACGGCATGACTCAGATTATTCATTTATTTTTTTTAAGATCTGTGTGTGCGTGCGTGTGTGTGTGTGTGTGTGTGTGTATGTGTGTGTGTGTATGTGTGTGTGTGTGTGTGTGTGTGTATACCAGGGGAGTGCCCAGGGACTAGAAGAGAATACTAGGTCTTCTAGAGCTGGAGTTACAGTCTCCACCTGATATACATTCTGGGAACCAAACTGGGGTCCTCTGGAAGAGAATGGAGATCTCTTAGCTGCTCAACCATCCCTCCAGTCCCTGAGATTATTCCTGTAAACACAATCTCTTAGCCAAGCGGTCAAGACAAGCTCCCTAACTCTGGGTATTCATTTCCTCATTTGCAGCACTAACCTTATAAAGGAAAATTTTAGAGATACATTGCATGTAAAACACTTACCAATGGGACTCGCTGTGCACCTTGCAGATCGTCCCATGGGCTGATTTTCTTATCCAGATAATATGATGCAGAGTGGCAGCCGGCATGACAGATGATCTCAACTTATGTCTGAGAAGACAAGACAAGAGGAGAGAGGGATGCGGATGGAAGGAGAGGGTGAAGGAGGGACGGGGAGGGGAGGGGAGGAGGAAAGAAGAGGGAAGAGGAGGACAGGGCAAAAAAGGGGAGTGAAAAGGAAGGGAGAAGAGGAGGTGAGATAGGAGAAGAGAAGAAATGGGAGAGAAGGGAAAGAGAAGAAAGGGAGGGAGGGGAGGAGAGAGATACTTTTGGAAATATATGTATTACATATATATTTATAATATAATACATAACAATATTAATATATAATTATATATATATATATATATTTTACAGGGCAATTTATGGGTCTCAACTCAAAACAGCCAACATTTTACTTGCCCATGTCTCGGATGCCAATGCGCTCTAGGTGCCATGAGATCTCACTCTGTAAGCTGGTAGCTTTTACTTTCAGATACACAGCTGAGGAGAACATGACCCCAACCCTCAGCACAACTTTTCCCACCTGACACCTTCTCCCTCTCTGGCAGGTCTGGTGATGGTAGCTGTGCATTGGGAAAGTAAGGGTAATGTCTAGAAGTGCTCCCTTAGTTTCTCACAGCAGGGAGGGAAGCAGACTTAGGGTGTGGTGTCCCCGAGGGCCTCTCTACACACACATTCTCCTTGGGGTGTCTCAGCATACCAGAGGTGTGGTTAGGCAAGTATCGCTCCACCCATGTGGTGTCTGCTGGCCAAGCCTCATCAGCCCTACACTCTCATCAAGAACATTAAGTGTACAGTAGCAGGGCTCCTAGGGACAGATTTAGTGATGCCCCCTGCCCTCTCAAGATTAATCTGCCCTTAATCAAACCACATTTCTTTTAGTCACTCCTCTGAAAGCTTCAAGCATTCCCTTGGCCCGGGTAAGTTTCTTGAGTAGGTCTAACACCTCTACCTAGAGCTGCAAAATAGCCCAGCACAGCGGCTATAGGGAGGCCTTGTGCCAGGCTGCTGGGTGCCTCCTAACATCACAACAGGACAGCCAGTTTCCTGAAGGCACTGCTCAGGTGGTCTCAGTATAGCCACGTAATGGAGGCATCCATGTCTCTGGATATTATGAAGTGCCCTGTAGCTGGAGAGGCATAGTAAAACTCAACCCAAGCCTCTCTTCCTGGAGATAAAAATCACAAGCAAGACTAGCTTATCCCAAATGCCAATCTAGTACCCCCCCAGAAAAACACCAGAAACTCCCATATACAGCTATGTTGAGTTACCAACACCTTCTCCTAAACCAATATCCAAGCAGCATTAAGGATTAAAGAAGACAGTCTACTCAGGGATCTGAGAGTAAAGCCAGATAGCTAGATGATAGACAGATAATTGGATAATTGATATATAGTACATAGATGGATGGTAGACAGACAGATGATAGATCAAGCAAAGCTGTGCTGACAGGTCATTCAAAGTGACAGAGTAGAAAGCAAAGGACTAGATGGACCCATAGCAGCTGCGTACAACCTTATTTCAAAGGGAGCAGCATCATTTGGAATTTTACACACAAAAGGTACAAGTGATAATTACCTGACATCCTGATTCTGTAAACATTGATGTTGGATGTCAGTGTGAAGGCTTGTCATCTCTACTACCCTCTAACCTACTTGAACTTTTATCAGCCTGCATTCAGACACTCCCATCTCCAGAAGAGCATTTAGAGAAGACGATGATTCAGACAGTCTGAATCAAGTTAGCAAAGCTCATCAGACAAGACCATGAAACTTCCAGGCATGACCTTTCAACTCCATTTGAAGCCCAGTTTCAGGGAGACATTAGACTGAGGGGCCTGAGAAGTAAAAGAAGAAGTTGACTCATGACTACCTATGTACTGTTGCTGTTCATTTCATCTCTTGGGGTTGCTTGTCTTCCTTCAGTGAAAGAAGGTGGATGAACGCTACATCCATTCTGAGACATCTACAGAAGCAGAGTTACACCTGATTTCTATTTCAGTTCCTCTGTTCGATCAGCCCCACAAGAAAGTTCAAACACATCATGAAGAAGAGGCAGAATGGTGTGAATAGTATATACTGTGGTCTCTCCTCATGATCCTTCATTTTTGTCTCATCTATGGTGCCTTCAAGAAGGTACACTAGGACTGGGAAGATGATGCAGTCAGTAAAGTGCTTTCCATGAAAGCGTGAGGACATGAATTCAATCACACAATACACATAGAAAAGTGTGGGCATGTTAGCACATACTTAGAATCCCAGCACTTGGGAAGGAGGACAGAAGACCCATGATACTAACTGCCCAGGTCCACAGCTGAACTGGTAAGTTCCAGGCCCAGTGAGGAACTCTAACTCAAAAATCCAAGAAATCAGTGTCCTGAAGAATGACACACAACGCTGACTTTTGATTCTATAAATACATGCTTGCACACCCATGCCACAAAGCTACACACACATTTATGTGTTCACACACAAAGCTAAACTCAATACAATAGTAATAGATGGTCTATAACGTACTTTCCAATTATAAAGTCTGATGATCCTAGATTTGAAGATATTCAGATGATCTGAATATTGTCCACCAACTTGCAATTATCCATGTAGCATTCTACATTGAACCTCAGAGAATATACCTCAGAGACGGTAAAAATCCTGAATCAGTATTGTTTATCTACAGTTAATGCCTGCCATGGATTTCTATAATTCACCGAACTCACTTAAAAAAAAAACAAAAAACAACAACCTCATTTAATGGAAATTGGCATTCTCAAAGGAAGGCCCTATCATCTGGTCCAAGAACAGGTTGAACACTATTCCTTCCTAGAAACCTTTTTGTTCAGTTTTATAGCTAAGGCCCCTGCTGTGTAATTCACAGATAAGAGAAGGCATGTTTATGCAGACAACTATTAACTGCATTGAACTCTGCCAGATATGATGTTACTTACCAAGGAATAATATCTGAGGAATGCTTATGCACAGGGAAAAAAATCTGTCTCACTGAGATTATTTGTTTCTCATTAAAATCCCATCAAGCCAGACAAAATCCCAGCAAGGAGAGGTAAACGTGTGGGCATGAAGTCCCACCCCTAGCTGAAGAGCTATTGGCAATTGATAGCTTCTGAGAGGGGGGAGAGTCAGTCTTCTTGGAGGGTGTGGCCCTCTCTAATCCTACCATGCTCTAGCAGATGACCATGCATCCAAGAGCTCATGGGCAACACAAATTGCGCTTAACAGGGTTAGAAGAATTGTGGCCACCATGGTGGGTGGATAGGGAAGTGGGGAGTACATCTGAGAGGAGTTGGGAGCAGGTGGACATGATCAAAACACATGCATGAAATCTTCAAAGAATTAATTTTTAAAATCCTTACATGAAGTAACATATGTCAAGCACTTATCATATTTAAAAATGTTCAGATATTCTTGGATATACTCCCAACAACACTTCATTATGTCACCTGTTTCTATCTGTCTTATATTCATTCCACCAAAGTAAAGCAAGCCAGAGGCTAGCTTCCTCACTCATGGAACACTCTATATCCTTATATGTGCAGGGAGATGTCCATTAAAGTCTCCCTTGCTACCACCACCACCACCACCACCACCACCACCACCACCACCACCAATCGTCAAGGGATGATAAATCATCTCTGTCTACATTGAGACTAAGATTGACAACTGCTCAGAGTATCTGCCAAAGGGTGTGCCATAGCCAAAGGCAGAGAGAGTCCCTGCAGGAATCCTGTTCCCAGACACCAGACATGGGGACGTGAAATGCCACTGGAATTTGCCTAAATGCCAGAGTCAACAAAGGTCTCAGTGGGAAGCTCAGGACTTCCCTCAGACTAGCCAACCCACCAGGTCTAAGAAGTACTTCCTAGAGAAAGATGCAGGGCATGTCAATCAAGGCACAGTAAGGTATTCTGCCTGCTACCAGACTCTGCCGCCTCCAAACGTAATACACTTACATGGTTTCTCTCACGTTTTATTTTGAAGATGGGAAAAAATCTACCCCTCTCATCCACAGCAGGCTTGGAAGCATTGCTATTATCATCTGCCTTCCTTGATGGAGAATACTGTTGGCAAGACGCCTTACTCACTTTCTACTTGATCATCAATGTTTAGGGAAGTGCATGAAATCCAAAATATCACCAACAACAACAACTTGTAGGCAAGTTTTAATACAGCAAAAATGCTTTAATTTGGCATGTTATGTGGTTTTAATAGATGAGATAAATGTTCTTTAGTTGGAATGAGTTGCAGACACAAGTCAGCAGAGGACTGACAGAGAAATAGTCTTCTGGATCTTTCCAAGTGAGTAGAGCTACAATGTGGCTATGCTATTTAGTTCAGAGTAAACTTCCGCTGCCTCTGTAGAAAGACATGAGGATAGAGCTGAATAGAGCCACTTATTTTTTTAGTAATCTGCAACTGTTTATAATATCAAAATCTAAATCATACAACTGGGGAAATTTTTGTGGTATGTACATGCATATATATACAGGGAAGGATGGTAAAATCAGGATACAAAAGATCAGTAATACTAGAAAAAGAAGGGACATTAAAAATAAATGAAGGAGGGTTAGGTATGGTGGTACATGCCTTTCGTCCCAGCACTCAAAAGACAGGGACAAGTAGATATCCATGAACTCCAGGCCAGCTTTGGCTATATAGTGAGTCCCTGTCTCAAAATATAATTAAGAAATTGTTGTTGGACTTTTTCATTGGGACCTTTGGCTCCCCAGTGGTGACACAGAGCCTTATTATTAGTTATGAAAGCTCAGCTGATAGATTAGGCTTGTTTCTAGCTCTTATAACTTAAATTAATTCAGATCTTTTAATCTATGTTATTTTACATGGCTCAGTTTCCTTTACTCAGTACTGCCCACGCTGTTTCCTCCACATCTCCTGACATCTCCCTTCTTCTTCCCAGTGTCCTCTGTGCCGGGAAATCCTGCCTAGCTGTTGGACATTCAGCTATTTATTAAACCAATCAGAGTGACACCCCTTCACAGTGTCCAAAAAGATTATCTCACATCAGAAGAAAGAAAT